TCTACAATAACCATCGTTTTCAATGAAACGGGGGCCCAGAATCTTTTTCCCTTCTGCTCTGTCCCTACTGACGTCTACATGGGAGCACGATTTTCTCCCTTTCTGTGGGAGAGGACATCAAGAAGTGTCCCCTCTGTCCTGGCTTTCTCCTGGTACCTGCACCCCCCCACCCCACCCCAGTGGCTGGAAATACAAACGTAGACACTGAGATGCGCAAAGTGGCAGCACAGCCCATGGGTTGCTTGGGAAAAACAGCTTCATTGTATTTTGTTTGTTTTATTTTTTAAAGATACATGTTCTTCCCTGTCGCCAGAGATAAGTTTTTGAATTAAAAATTACCCTTCAAATGCTGTACAGATGTTGGCATTCTGAAGTCAGATCCTATTGGCCCATGGGTTGCTGAGCAACCTGTGCCGCCCAATCAGCCTAGGTTTTGAAAAGGGAGCTGTTCCAAGAGAGGAGAAAACGAAGGGTCCATGCTCTGTGTGATGAGGCTGTCTGGGGCAGGCTGGGAGCTCCTACACGTTTGTTCTACTGAGAAGTTTCGCTCCCCCGCTTCCTTGCCTGAACACGCATTTTAATTTCACCACGTCAATTCTCATTATCTGTCTACGCGGATGCCCCCTTTTGGTTTTCAGGAATAATTAAGAGCTCTTTCCCTCACTGCGTTTTTGGCATTGATAAAGACATTCGAGGCACCGCAGACAAGGCAGGAGCCAGGATCAAGAGCAAGTCTTTGAAGATGGTCTTTAGAGACAGCTCTGACGAACAATGGCGAAGAGACCAATTAAGCCCAGAATCCAAGGCCTGGCTGCTTTAAACTCTTTTCAAAAGAAATTAGCCTGCATGTTAACAGGGCGAGTGTTAGGCCATTTCAAGACGTCAGCCTCTGGAGGCTCGTCAGCTGGGGGGAGAGGCCCCCGTGCGGCTGGGCACTGTTCGTCACAGTTGCTGTCTGCAAGTTGCAAAAGAAATTTCCAAACCATAGTGGGAACAGCAATTCCAAGTGGAACAGTACAGGTTGATTAACAAGGGTGATTATATGGGACATATATATAGACACACACGCACATAAAACTACTAGTGTTGGAAGAAGATGCAGGGGAGGGAGGAGAGGAGGTGCCGCGGTGCTGGGATCCCCGCGAGAGCAGGGAGCAGGTGCCGGCTCCCCAGAGATAAGCTGCCCTAAGCCTGCTCTCCCGCCCAGGAAGCCTTGTAACTCAGCTGTTGATTCCTTATGGGCTTTTCCAGATCACAGGGAGGGAAGAGCCGGAGCCGCAGGCTGTGTGGGTTCTGCTAACGGACTGCTGGAGGCCTGGGCGTGTATCTCTTTCAAGGGGGAGAGAAAAGGGAGATGATTTGCGGTGGGAATTGTGCTCGGCCACAGGGACTACGTCCGCCATTCGATTTCTGCATCGTTGTGGCCGAATACCCCTTTCCAAAGGTTGCGTCTCTCCTCGCTTTCTCGGAAGAATGACGCAGACCTGTGCCTTGATGCCATCTCGGAGGGGGGATTTTTAGTGTTGGCCCTGCCAGTGTAATTGTAAGTAAGAAAGGTGGTTGTCACTCCTAGGGGACTGGCAGGGTGACAGAAGGGGACAATGTCCTAAAGCTGTGAGCGTCGGTGCCGGTCTCGGATGTGGGGGCCTGGGCTGCCGGGTCCAGAATGGAATCACAACGCCTGCTTGTGGGGACGCCACTGATAGCCCGCATTGGTCTCGCTCGCTCTCCCCGCCCACCCTGTGCACCCGAGAGGAAAACAGGTGGGGAGGCGAAGGGACTTGCCCGGAGTCACGTGACTGTGCGTGCCCTCCGCCAGCTCTCCTGCCCTAACTAGTCCTGCATTCCTCCTGCTGCACAGGGGTGACCCTGGGGCTTTGGCTTGACGGCGGGGGCTGGATGAGGCTCCTGCATTCCTGATGGTGCCTTTTGCTCACTCTCGGCAAGACACTGTTCTTCCACTGGCTGCAGGCCGGGTGCCTTCGCGGGTGGGGGCGTCAGAGCAGAATAAGACGCTTGCCATTGTGGCCAGCCACGGCAGGGCTCAGGGGCCAGCTCCCTCGGTGACCCTCTGGCTGCACGTCCCCAAGTGCTGCTCCCCTTGCAGTGACGGAGCACCCAGCCCCCCTCCACGCTAAGCTTGGACTCTCCCTGTTGCCTCAGGACACGCCAAGTTGCCAAGTCTTTCCTGGTGTTCCTCCAGGGGGAACAGCCTCCGGCTCTGGCTCACAGGGGAGAGTGTGGCCGCTGCAGTCTCAGCTTGGATCCCTTGCCTTTGGCTTGTCCTGTGGGCGATGCCAGGACCCCTCTCTGCAGGGATTTATCAACTCCAATGAATAGAGGGCGGAGTCCTTTATTTCACCAAATTCTCACTTTACTGTCTATTCTGAATCCCAGAATAGAAAAAAACAGATTGTCCATTGAAGGACATTTTCCTCTGTTCCTAGGCTCGGGTCTGAAATGGCAGGGGCGTATGAGAGGCCAAAGTTAGGAGTTTGCAGGACCAGGTTCTTAATGACCGTCAGTTCCTGCAGGTGCAATGGTCTTCCAGGTGATATTCCCCAGGTGCGATGTTCTCAGTGCCACATCAGGGCGCCCCAGAAACGTCTGTTGCTCCCACACCATGCTGAGGTCTGAGCTGTCTGCTAGATATGTTTTTTGTTTGTTTGTTTGTTTGTTTGCGCTGGAGTTTGGCCATGTCCTCGGGGCTTCACCCAAGGTCTGGGGCATAGGTCCTTCCACTCCAGGGCTCCCCAAATGCTTCCTGCTAGACCCTAGTCTTCTCCTCTTGAGTCTAAGACTGTTCCTTTCCCTCTGTATTCTGACATAAAAAAAGTCTGTGTGTGCTCTTTCCCATCTTGCAAGATGGCGAGTGAAAAGGCCACAGCTCCAGTGCCAGACACTAAGGAGACATCTCCAGCCAAGAAGGCAGATAACGCCAGCGGCAAAGTTAGCAAGAAGAGCCTCAAGGATAAAAAGCCCAAGAAGGGGAAGCCCTCTGCGGCCGAAACCCAGTCCTTGTGAAAGGGATTGGCAGACGCTCCCGTCCACCATGTGTTCCAGGAAGGCCTCGTACGAGAGCAAGCACGCGGCTCCCAGATCCAGGATTGAGGAGAAGGAGAAGTCTCTTGCTACTGTCACAAGACCAGTTGGTGGTGACAAGCATGGTGGCACCAGGGTGCTGGAGCTTTGTAACAAGCCTCGATACTATCCCACCGAAGACGGCCCTCGAGAGCAGCTCGTGCAGGGTGGGCAGACCCAGTTACCTGAGGGGGGGAGGATGGTGGCCAGGGACTCTTGGGGGGTCCAGGAGGCACCTGTGCATGCCACCCCCCAGTGTGGGAGATGGGTTTGAGTTCATCTGAAATCAGGCTGCAGTAAACAGGGCTCCTGGTGGGAGTGGATCTCCCTGCATCCCCAGATCAAAGTGGGAGCTCGCGGGCAACTCCCCCCAACCTGTCCAGGTAAACTGAGGTCTGAGTCGTCCCCCCAAAAGTCTCTGGCAGTAGTGGCTCAGCATGGTTCAGGTAGCCTGGGGCCGTGGCCGGGTTCCCAGCTTCTGTGCCGAGGGAAGTGAGCTCTTGGTGAAGTTTTTTTTCCATTCAAGTCTGCATTCCGCTCCGTGTGCCCTGCACATCTGCTGTGTGTGCAGCTGCCCCGAGCCCGGCTCACACAGGACATCATTCCGCTGGGCCCCACGAATGGGTTCCTGCCACTGCTGTTTGTTTAGGCTCATTGGCCGTGGGCACTTGTTCTGGTGGCTACAAATTGCTATTGGAAATTCTGCTTTGTGAAAGACTAAAGAGACCCCCCTCCCTGTCCCCCAGACCTCTCTGTTTGGTGAAGCATCAGTGCTTGCTTTCGTCTGCCTGTGCCATTTGTACTTCTGCGGGTCGAGCGAGCGAGCGCTCCCTGCTGCCTACCCCTCGTATGGATCTTCTAAGCACACCTCGTGCCTTCCAGCCTCCGTGCAACTTCAGGCCCAGGGAGAAGTGACCCACCCGGCAGTGTGGCCCAGTGCACCCTCCCTGGCCAGGAGTCCACGTCCTGAGGTGACTTTGCCGTGGGAGGTGAGAGTCGCCTCCTCCTCACGGGCTGCAGCCCTGCTCCCCTCCCGTAGGGGCGCACCTGGGGCCCAGGGAGATCACAAGGCTGAGCCGTAGGGAGTATTTTGACTCTGATTTTTACGTGATGTGCAGATTTGAAACCCGGATCTCATATGAGAAAATGTGCAGGACAGAGGCACTCTGATGAGGCTGCAGGAAGGTGGGCTGAGGACACAACAGAAGACCCTGCACCGCATCTCCCTGTGGGCCAATGTGCGTGTTCACCTGCTCCGGCATGCGTTGCATCGCTGGCCACGGGCAGCTGGTATTAGGCGGTCTTTGGACCAAGGCAGGCCCATCAGACCCTTCCCCTGCATTTGGGCCACCACGTCCCAGCTTGTCCAAGACTTTCCTGATTTGAGCACCAGACGCTCCGTGACCTGGGCAAGCCCTGAGTCCCCAGCGAGGTGAGGCTGGAGAGGCCAGCAAACTGGGCTTCTCTCTGGCGGTTGAAGCTCTAAGGCAGTAGGGAGAGGACTGGTAGAGAAAGGAGACAGGGAGGCAGGCTCCAGCCTCATCCTCACAGATCCTGCGCTCTGCGTCTGACCCCTCCTCAAAGCCCACCAACCGGCGCAATTTGCACATTCCTTGATGTATGTTAAGTGGGACTTCCTCACCCCAAGGCAGAGAGGCCTAGGAGTGGGAGGAAGGCTGGCTCTGCCTGCAGGTGGCCTAGGCCTGGCCTCGTCTTTAGAGCTAGATCGCACTGTGACATCCTACAGATACGGCAGTGGAGCAGCAAAGCCTTTCAGTGAGTTAGGGTCAAGGTCACTAAGGTAGCAAGACACAGTCGCATGGCGGTGCACAGACGGCAGGGTCAGGGTCTTATGCCACACTGCAGGTCCCTTTACAGGAGATATCGGAACCTGTTCATGTCAGAAGATATTGGTCAACCTGGCGTCTTGTTCGGAGGGATTCCAGAACGGGTCAGGTGAAGTCCAGGTTCCTTCTTTCCTGGGAGAAATCCTGGGCGGCAGCTAATGGTGCTCTCAGAGTTGCCCTGCTTCCAGGTTCTGTAAAGGGCGCTTGCGTACTTAACCTCTACAGCGAATTTAACCTGCGGGGAGCAGACTGTCAAGTTACAGAGAGTCTGAACCACTGGCTAATTACGGCAGAGCTGGGATGCAAGCCTGGGGCGTCTGGCTCAGGCCCTGACTCACATGTACGAGGTTTCTGAAACCAGACAGGAATCAGGGCGCATCTCGCTTCCCCTGCACTGCTGTGGGGCCCGGGGAGCTCACCCACCTCGTCGGCGTGCTGCCTTTCTTCTCTTCCCCCCTGTAGGATTGAGTGAGAGCTCCGCTGATGGCTGGTCGAAGCTCCTGGCTCATAGTGCGCGCTCAGTGCATGAGGGCCACTCGAGCCTTGGCCTTGTCTCCCAACAGGTCACTCAAGGTCCAGCTGCACAGAACAGAATCCACTCACAGTACAAGCAGGGTTTTGTTTATTTTGTGCCCGAGGTGTTAAATGGCTTACACCACTGTTAGAAGGCTGAAGAAGCAGACAGAGGAGTTTACCATTCAAGAAGAAATCCCTAAACTGTAGCGCCAAGCTGACTACCACGGAAGCTCTGAGTTCTCCTGTGAAAAGGAAACCGCTGATTCCTGCAATCCAGAAACCGTCCAAGCAGGAGAGACCACCGACTGCTGCTCCCAGCACTGGGAAAGCCCACATCTGCTGTGTCTCACCAGCGAAAAGATGCCCTACTTCCTGAAACTCAAGAAACCAGGGATACCATCTCTGCTCCAGACTGACTAAATGGCTCCCAGGGTAAGCTTTTTAGGAGGGGAGAGGGGACAGAAGTGTTATTTCCTCTGATTGGCTGAAACTCAATCATGTGTGGTGTTTTCATTGCAGGGGAGGCTGGGAAATGTAGTTTTTAACGTTCTTGCCTTTGCAACTCAAATAGATGTAAAAGAAGGATGAGGAGGGTAGAATGAGCGCTGGGTGCCGCTCTGTATGCTGGGGTTGTTCCACAGGCAGGGCAATCTAGAGGGTGCTTCTGGGTCGAACCTCCCTGGGAGGTTGCTGGGTGCTGAGAGGAGGAGCAGGCGGAGGCATGGCAAGAAACCAAACCCAGGATCCTCCTGTGCTTCCTCAGAGTTTGGGTATGGCTACCATGCAGTGCACGCCTGCCGTATCACAGGCAGTTCAGAGCAGGCAAAAGGGCACGGTGGGAGGCACTCTGCTCCCAGGCCTTGGGCATCTCTCACCACTGACAAGAGTGGTGCTGGGCATACTTCTTCCTCTTTTGTCAACGAGGGGCCAGACAGGCCCCCTGGTCCCACTTAGCAACCTCTACACTTGCCAGGAACACACGCGCATGTGGTCACTCCATTCCCGAGCAACATCAGAGAAATAACGTATTTCTTTTCAACATCAGTGCTGTCAAAGCCGCAGTATCTGGGTCTGCGTGGTTTCTGGTAAAACAGAGGCTGTGAAACCTCTGTCAGTGCGAGCGTGGACGTAAACAGACAATAAATCTTGGAAGGTACACGGGACGGCTATATTTGGATTCAAACCTGTTAACCCTCACAAGATAAAGTTCAGTTTGATGCTTCAGCTCCCCGAACCGGGCAGAGGTTCAGAAATGGGAGGTTTGTGGATTTCATTGCTAAGAAAACAGAACGTAGAAGGAGCAATCTAGAATGTCAACATGGAAACTGAATTTTACTGTTGGAACCAGGGCCAAAATTGGGCCTTCAGTCTTTGGCTCTGTGGAATTAGAAGTGAATTCTTGGATTCTATGATCCTGACATTTCAAGGCATAGAGCCATTTTCGAAAGATGGATATGCACGCAAAGACTCATGGGTGCAGGCCAGCACCGAGGCTGTGTTAAGAACCCCTGAAAGTTTGGGTGACCTCCCCAAGCACAGGTCACTTGCTCCAGAGGCCCCGAATAGTCAGAAGTCTGTTCAGGGGTTCACATGAGACCATTTGCTTGGCGAAACCTCAAGTCTCATGGACGCCAGCTCCCTCCTGCCTTGTGCCGTCTCTCATGGCTCTGCAGAAATCCACGCTTCGTGGGGCGTGAACTCCTCCCCAGGGGGCAAAACTCTTCGCCAGGAATGTGCACGTCCACACTTGCTCATTTCTGTGTGCTCTGCTTTCTCAGATGGGTTAAGGAGACCCCAAGAGCTGGAGGGACCGTGGAGTTTATTGTTGGAGAGAGGTGCTGGGGACAGAACTCAACCCAGGAAAGCCCGGGGATCAGGTTGCAGAAGGCAGTCCTGACGGTGGTCTGACTGTCTGGTGGTCAGTCCTGCTCCACCTCTCCTGCTGTCCTCAGCCCTGCTCCACCTCTCCTGCTGTCCTCAGCCAGCAGCGGGGCCCACTCACCTCCTCCTGGACACTGAGGTTCTGTGAGTCCATCGGCTTCTCCCAGCTCCCGTCCCGTCCCCCATTTTTCTCACATTCCTAAACAATCCGCGTTTCCTGTGCAGAGTCCAGCTTTTCCCAGTAGCTGCACACGCTCAGCTTTGGCCTTGACCTGATGAGCTTAGCGTCTGATTCTGATCAGTCCCCAGATACTGATCCATCACTCTAGTATCCCGCCCCCCATTCCTTATATCTCCAGCCACAGCCAGTCCTGGAACTGGAACTGGGTGGGCTTGACTGATTGGCCTGGACCAGTGTGTGTGGGTTTTTACCCCCTGGAAAGGATCAAGAGGGGAGGGGGAAAGTGGGTACCTGCAGACCCCTAACCCTAAGGGGCCACCAGCAGATGTCTGAGGTGCGAGGCTAGAAACTGAGACCAGAGCCTCACCTGGAACAGGACTGCTCTTGCCTGTTGACCAGAACGAGTAGTAGTGGACCTTGGCTTGGTTTATAGGCCAACATCCACCACAGTGTTAGTAGTTGTGTGTGTGTGTGTGTGCGTGCCCGTGCGTGTCTGCACACACATGTATATGTGGGAAACTCTGTCTTTGGCCTTGTCCAAGCATAAGACATTGTCCTTGCTGATAGTTTCCCACCCATCTGGAAACACGCATCCATGAAACACAGCAGACCACTGTCAACTGCTAAATGGCAGTGGGCAGAGAACCAAGGAGCGATAGGTGCACGATTCTCGTCCTCTGCCTGCTCCCTTCACGTGGTCGTGTGGGTCTGAATCTGTTCTTCTGCAAGGCGAAGAGTCTCGGTCAGCCGGGGTTGCCCTAACAGGGAGCCGCAGACTGGGTGGCTTCCGTTTGTTTTCTCACGAGGTCAAGGCGTGAGCAGGGCTTGGTTTCTGGTGAGGGCTCTTTTCCCTCCTCTGAGCACACGCGTGCACGTACATGCACACACAGGAAGCTCTCTAGTGTCTCCTCTCGTAGGGACGCCGACTCTATGGGGTCAGGGTCTTGCCTTGCTTTAGCCTTAGTGACTTCTCGAAGGCTCGGAGCACAGCAGGTTGAACCCTAACTCCCACCGCGGTGGTCTCAGGAGGCAGGGCCGTAGGAGGCGGAGTCATGAGGTTGGAACCCTTGGGAATGGGATTAGCACCCTAGTAGCAGGCCCCACAGAGCCGGACCACCCTCCCACCCTGGGAGGACACAGCCAGGGGGAGCCCTGCGTGCTGCCAAGGGGGAGCGGACACGGGTGCCTTGCTCTGGGGCTTCCTGGCCTCCAGAGCTTGGGGAAAACAAGTGTCTGCTATTTGAGAGTCACTCGGTCAAAAGCGTGTTGTCACACCGGCCCAAAAGGACCAGACTCCGCTTATCTCCAGCCAAAGCCGCACTGCAGGTCAGGGCGTCAGCACTCGAATCTGGGAGGGGCCGCGATTCAGTCCGTACTAGAAGGATGGCACTAAATCATTCTTTAAAAAAAATCAGTTAAGCTTAAATAACGCAGATACAGTTAAGTGCATGGAACCCGGGGGTTTGTGGGTGTGAAGACAGAAGGATGCAAGCACCAGCACTGCCTTTGCCCCCCACCCCCACCCAGCCCCTCCCTCTCGGGAGCAACGCTGTGGTCCACAGGCTGACATGCAACGTCTGTAGATACAGCCGCAGGAGATCACGGCCCTGGGCCAGGGCTGTTACAGCGTTGGCACCAGCGCTGTCTAACTAAATCGTGTCACAGCCGCCATCGGTAGTTAGCCTCCAGATTGTTCTTTTGGACACCAGAACTCTGATTTTTTTTTTTAAACGGGAAGGGATGATCTCCCAAGTTTCTATCTCTGCGTGCTCCCGCGTGCACTCGGCACAGTGGTTCTGAGGTTGCACTGTGGATCAGAAGTTTCTTGCTTTCATCCCAAAGCTTATTTGCGAGCTACAAAGCTGCTTTTTCTGGTGGTGCAAAATTGGCCCGGGTGGGTACACCGTGGTGCTAAGCCGTTCCCTGGCGCTGCCAAACTGGGACTTGGCTTGTGCACTTATGCCCGTAAAAGGTTGCTTCCAGCCTAGGAAAAGGCCAAGCATCGTGATTTAACACACACACACACACACACACACACACACACAGCAAGTGCTGCCGCTGGGGCCTGCACCCCATAACGTGCACACGATGCACCCCTTGAAATGATGTTTGCAAAAGGAAATGGGATTGAAAATTGTTTGAATGGAAAAAGAAATGGATCTGGATACCGTTCAGAGACACATGAGTACGCGAGGTTTCCAGCAGGCCTTCGCTTCATTTCGCTGTGGCTTTCACTGTAGCGGGGTCTCTAACCTTTCGGCTGATGACGCAGCTGGAGCAACTTCTGATGATTCACCGGGGAGCCCGTGACCTTGTCTCTTGTCATCTACCCAGCAGATCTGCCCTGTCGGAGCACGCCTGCACGCGCTCTGCCTGAGCCCCGAGCGCGTTTGCACGCCTGCTCCCTCGTGGTTTCCCAGTGTGCACGAGGGCACACACACCACAGTGGCTTCGCTGTCGCCCCATCCAAGCCACGGCCGCTCCTTCCTGTGCGTTGGAAACAAGGTCAAAGCTGGCTTGATTCCCAACCTGTGGGTTGGGGACGTGCACAATAAAACAGCCTGTGGATTTCCTTCTGACCCGGCGCAAGGAAGGGTGGCGGCTCTGGTCACGTGAGGGGTGGACGTGATGTTCGGGCAATCGGCTCGGGCCTGGTTGCCCACCTGTTTGCTGCTCACTGCTTCTGTTTCTCCATGGCAAGTGAGAAGCCACAGTTCTGCGCTGGTACAGCTGTCAGCCAAGCTCAGGTGCACACGGAGACGTGGTCAGTGTCTTCGATTCGCACTAGATGCGAGCCCTCAGAGAAACGTGACGAGGTCAACGGACGTCAGATGGAGGAGTCCTTGACTGCGAGTCCTCGCAAGACTGCAAATGCAAACACTGACTGAAACCTGCCGAAGCCACCCTCCCCTCGCAGCAGCCGCCGGTGGAGGAGACCGCTACCAAAAACGTAATTTCACGGGGGGCCTGGAGGGAGACAGTAGTACAGACTGGTTTGTTTTATTGCACATTTCGAGGGGGAAAAGGCTTAGGAAGTGCCTTAATGGGAGAAATGAGAGATGGTTCTAGAAGACAAAGCTTGATAAGGGAAGGCAGCCCCAGCTCCCAACAGGAGAGGCCGTGCCTTTCATCTGGTGGAATCCGGGAAGTTTTGCTGTTACTGCAGCGAAGCAAGAACCCCGGGCATGGAGGAAGCCAAGGTGAGCAAAGCCAGCAGCTGCCTGGCGCGTACACAGGGGTGTGCGGGTGAGGGTTTAACAGCCGGCTCCGGGAGCAGGCGTCGGCGGGGGTGGGAGACCCGAGCGCTTGCCCATTTCCATGGTGTGAACACTCCCACTGTGGCTAACTTCAAGCCACCAGAGCAATGTCGCCGAATAGTGAGTAGCGCAGGGACCCACAGGATGCGTGCTCGTGAGCTGGTGGCAGCCAGCGCCGGCACAGCCCTGCGGAGACGGCTCGGCCGGTTGCTTCTGCGGCTTTGATGAGAGGGAGCAGCAGCTGACCTGGCTGTCTTTCCTCAGATGGGAGCTGCCCAGATGTTTCAGGCTGGCAGGTGGGGCTTTTGGGTGGCACAAGACTTAGACAAGGAGAGGACAGATGGGGACCGCTCTCTTCCTAAGCTGTTGTTTAAAATCCTAGTGTTGTACAGGGATTCCTGAGGACTCGAATGCTTCAGAGAGGTGCTAGTGAGCCTGGTGGATTCCGAACAACACATGATGCTAACAGCAAGCAAATGGAAGACAAAAACCACACTGGGTCCGTGTGGGACGGGCCTGTGGCTTGACACTGACTGTGAGTTGACCTTGGGTTCCAGCACCGACAGGTCATTGTCCTGCAGCGGGTGGAGGCTACTTCAGAAGGGACGGTGTTGCTTCCCCAAGTGCATCTTTGCACTCCACGTGGCCCGCGTTGTTAGGAAGACTAGAAGCGGATGAAAACCTTACCCCAGAGCGTGATCATCCTCATCAGAGAGGAAGAGCGCCCACTCGGGCACCTGGTCTTTGAGTGCAGGGCTGCAGTCTTTGGTATGAGGAGTTCTGGGGAGCAGCCCCCCTGGACTTGCCAGAAGCCATGGAAAAGGGGGTAGCCGGCGAGAGGTCCTCCACCCTCCAGGGAGCAGCCCTCCATCGGGGCATCTGATGTAGGTTTTGATGGAGCCAGTTTCCATAGATACTGAACAAGTAAGTGATCACCAATCCCAAACACAAATCCTCACCAACAGAACAAAAGAAGCAAAACTATAGAAAGGAAAATCTTACTGTTTAATGACTTATTCTCACTTTTTTTTTCTCTCTCTCTAACTTATCTCAGGATTAATGACACCAATGCCTTTTTTTTTAAGATTTATTTATTTATTTGAAAGTAAGAGTTACACAGAGAGAAGGAGAGGCAGAGGCATAGAGAGAGAGGTCTCCCATCCACTGGTTCACTCCCCAATTGGCTGCAACAGCCGGAGCTGCACCAATCCGAAGCCAGGAACCAGGAGCTCCTCCCGGGTCTCCCATGTGGGTGCAGGAGCCCAAGGACTTGGGCCGTCTTCTACTGCTTTCCCAGGTCACAGCAGAGAGCTGGATTGGAAGTGGAGCAGCCTGGATTCGAACGGGTGCTCATATGGGATGCCGGCACTTTACCGGCTACGCCACAGTGCCGGCCACGGTGCCTCTTATGTTTAAAATCAGCTAGGAAGCTCATTATCAGTAAGTGCTTGAGAAATGAGAGGGGCCCAACCTCTCTCTCCCCAAGATACTCATCATTTAGTAAGGAATTCGGCATCTTGAAGGAACCAGAACTTAATCAGGAGGCAGTGGGAGCCACGGGCGGTTCTCGGTCAGGGGCGTGGCACAGTCAGAGCTGCATTCGGAGACGGCAGCGTGGGAAACCTGGGCTGGGCAGTGAGAGCATGGGGAGTGTGTGGCAGCCTTTTAGGGCCCAGGAGACAATGATGCATGTGGGTGGTGGGGGGGACGGGGGGAGGGGGCTCCGTGGGGGCGAGGGGTCTCAGGAGGAGAGACACCTGCTGAGAGAACTGTTTTTTGTTTGTTTGTTTGTTTGTTTGTTTTGTTTTTGTTTTTGTTTTTGACAGAGCAGACAGTGAGAGAGAGAGAGAGAGACAGAAAGGTTTTCCTTTACTGTTGGTTCACCCCCCAATGGCCGCTGCATACCTTGCTGATCTGAAGCCAGGAGCCAGGTGCTTCTCCTGGTCTCCCATGCGGCTGCAGGGCCCAAGCACCTGGGCCATCCTCCACTGCCTTCCCGGGCCACAGCAGAGAGCTGGCCTGGAAGAGGGGCAACTGGGACAGAATCCGGCGCCCTGACCGGGACTAGAACCCGGGGTGCCGGTGCCGCAAGGCGGAGGATTAGTCTAGTGAGCCGCGGTGCCGGCCGAGAACTGGTTTTGAGGACAGGACGATGGCACAGATGAGCGGCCGTGTGTCACAGGCGACGCAAGACTTCCATGCCTTCTCCGGGGTTGCGGGCGTCTGCAGTCTGAGTCTCTTCTTGTGGGCTGAGCACTCAGCGCTGCTCAGACCGTCTGCACAGAGACATCTGTCCACTAGCAGCTGTGAGAGACTCTGCCTCCCTCTGGACCTGAGAGCAAGTTTGCTTGCTGTCCTGTGGAGCAATGGCTACCTCGAGCGTCAGGCAGATTTGCTTGGAACCCAATATGAAAAGGCAACTCGGGCTGCGTACTGTGAGCCATGAACGTCGTGGTCTCTGACCCTGGGAGTCTCAAGTCTTCTTGCGGCACCCACGAGGGTGAGGCCAGGAGCCCGGGCCAGCAACGACAACGCCTTCGAGTGAGAAGGAGAAGCTCACTTCTGGCTTTTGTTTAGAGCGATACCCAGCATGCCCCGAGCTTTTCCTGTCTGCCGGTGACTGACATGCGCGTCCTCACACCCAGCTCCAAGGACTGCCCGGCGGCGCCCAGCTGGCATTCCCAAGGTTCTTCCAACGTGCGCTCTCTGGAGGTAGCTTCTGCAGGGCTTCAGCTACCTTGATCTATAACCAGCACCACAGTAGCTTGTTAAAAAGCATTTCAGATGAGAAACGTTCTTTTCCACTGATGAATTTGGAGTTTGATGTAAATGAACAGGCCCGGGGTATTGCGTGGGCATCTCAGCTCTGCGCGAGTGGTAGAAGAATCTAGAAGGCGCTCCAGGGTCCGTACCCTTGATTCTGAGGGCTCTGATCTAGCCAGCGCCTTGGAGGATACTTGCTGTCCACATCCAAAGTGTGGCTGCTGCTGCGTCGCCTTTTGTGAGTTTCTTGAAAATGCAGCTGCCACTCTTAAGAGGAGGGACGTTGCTCCGACGTACAGGATGCGCTGCGTGACTGCCTTCCTGCGTGTTGCTAAGTGATCTCTCCGGGCGGAAGCCATACCTTGTACAGTAACCCAGACAGGGAGTTGTGGGCCCCATCCATAGCTGATTGTTGCTGGCTACCAGTACGTACCCAGAGAGCCTACTACCTGGAAGGAGCCAGCTCAGCTTGCCCAGGCTGTGGCTCTCGCGGGCGGGGTGGACGCCATGTCCCTGTACTACAGATGAGAACATTGAGACACAGAAGAGAGGCCCGGCTTGCCCAAGGCCACATGGCTAGGAAATGCCAGCTCCAAGATTCAGAATGTCACCTTTCCTTGTTCTGCTAAAGCATAAATGTATCTGTCGTTTCTCCTTCGTCATGAAAAATTAATTTGTCGCAAGGAGGGAGTGGAGATCACATATGTGGAGTTGGCCTTTTTTCAGAATAAATGACTGTCAAAGGTCTATTTTTAGAGTTCATTGCCAGGGGCAGGTACGGCTGTGCGTGGGCCGGGCCCAGCCCCCTGGCTTTCGCTTGTCTCTCCCAGCTCCAGGGCATCCAAATATAGTGTCGAACTTGGTGCTTTCCCTCGGGCTCATTCCGATCTTAATTTAAGAGCAAAAAATGCTGAGCTTGACTTGGGTAAGACTGGAATTCACCTGCCTGCTATGTTTTCCTGCCTCCAAGTTCTAGTTCCAAGCAGGTGGGTTAAAGACACTCCTGCAGCAGAGGCCTGCCCCCAGCCATGCTGTCTTGCTCCTTGGTAAGACTTAGAACATTAAGCGTGGTCTACACTGTCCATGGAAATCGCACCCTTCTTTGCTGGTGAGTGGTGTATGAGACCTGCTGGTGGCCAGTACTGGGGAGTGTGAGAGCGATATTTTCCATCCTAATTAAAGGGTGATAGCATTTCCTCCAGGGAATGCCCTTCCCAGAGAGAGCTCTTTTGCTCCCACCGTCTTCCTTCCTTCCTTGGATGGGACACTGTGAAGTGGGCTCAATGCCTGGTGCTGCAGCAGTCATCTTGTGACCATGAGGGGAGGCTCACCAACATGTAGGATGGCAGAGAAGAAGTGTAGAAATGGCTAAGGTCTTTGGTGCCATCGTAGAACTAACCAACCCCAGGATGGCTGATCTCCAGCCCAGCTGTTACGGGAGATGAATAGCGTAAGCCACCTTCAGCTGGGCATTCGGTTGCTTAAAGCTGAAATCATTCCTAACTAAATACAGAACAGGGAAGAATGATTTATTCTTTTTTTTTTATTATAATTTATTTTATTTAACAATCTAGGAAGTTCGCAGCCATCAGCAGTTCCAGTGCGATTTCAGGTGCAATTGGGAATTCGGGAATCTCGGTGGAGCTGTTAGTGTAGTGAACCTTGTAGGTAAAATACATGCACACTTTTGATAGCACATGTGAAGGGATCTCTCTAAAATTGACCTCATTGGTTTCGTTTTCAGCAAACTGACCTGGGCCACTCAACATGGCTTTAATTGTTCCTGATGTTAGTGCATGTTCTCTTTTTACAATAAATTCATGACCATCAGAAGATATCAACTTGACATACATGGCATCAGGGCCTTCACAGCCACCATACGTTTTCTCCTCTCCATCCATTATGTTCTTATGAAATTCTACTTTGCTTCCACAGAAACTTTAGTCGTTTCTCAACAACCCCGCAGCCACCGCAGCCGCCGCAGCCAGGTCCCCGCGAACCGCCACAGCCCTTACTCAGGGCCGCCCCCCCCCCCAGCGGCCTACCCCCGTAGAATGATTTATTCTCTGAAAGGAGAGTCAGCCCTGATGCTCAGCGATGTCCTGAGACCCCCATCGATCTCGCAGGCCAATGACGGGGCCAGAAAACACAACAGAGATTATTACAAACATTAAAGGGGTTCCTTGTTCTAGTAATGGACATTTTGACTGCAAGTGACTGAAACATGAACCAGACATTTCCTGTGTGATTGGCCCCCAAGGGATGGGCCGGCCCCTCCCTCTCCTGGGATTGGGAGCTGTCAGTCTGGGCACACCAGGTGCCCCGTGAGGGTGGCTGCAAGGAGACAGGGTGTTGGAGCCGGAAACTCAGCGCGCACACCCAGCTCTGTCTTGTCAGAGGCCTGGTGGCCTTGGTGAGCTGGAGGCCCGGTCGAGCCTCTGCTTCCTCACCTGCTGCGGTTCTTGAGCCCCGAATGACTGGCGTGCTACCAGCGGCGCCGTAGGGTGGCTGACCGTCAGCCCCTCTCCCTCTTGCCTGACGGGGTTGGAGCAGGAGCGAGTGCTCGTCTGAATAGGTGTATCCCTGCAGCACGTGGGCTGGCTCCCTTCCTATGGCCACACACGTCCTTTCTTCTCGGCTGCCGAGAACTCCCACCTGGCCTTGGCTGCTGGCGGTGGGGCAGGAGTTCCTGGGGTGAAAAGAAGTCTCCGGGGCCAGCACTATGGTGTAGCAGGTAAAGCCGCTGCCTGCAGTGTCGGCTCCCATATGGGCGCCAGTCTGAGTCCCGGCTGCTCTACTTCCAATCCAGCCCTCTGCTATGGCCTGGGAAAAGTAGCAGAAGATGATTCAAGTCCTTGGGTCCCTGCACCTGCGTGGGAGACCCAGAAGAAGTTCCTGGCTCCTGGCTTCGGATTGGCTCAGCTCTGGCTGTTGTGGCCAATTGGGGAGTGAACCAGCAGATGGAAGACCTCTCTCTCTCTCTCTCTCTCTCTCTCTCTCTCTGCCTCTCCTCTCTCTGTGTAACTCTGACTTTCAAATAAATAAATAAATTTTTAAGAAAAAAAAAAGGAGTCCCCTCTGCCTTATTAGCAGACAGGGACTGCTCAGGGCCGTGTGGAGTGCCTACGAGTTTGTAGCATGAGTGTGTGTGTGTGTGTGTGTGTGTCACACATCCAACCTGCGAGCAAGACTCACACTTCACACTGGCATGTGGGCTCTGGGGTGCCTCTCGGGCCCCACTCAGGGTGATGGGGCGTGGCTTGCACTGTGGGCAGAGGGTGACCCCGACTCTGTTGGCTGTGTCTATTGCGTTTTGCCCTTTATTTTACGCTGTGAAGTTTGTCCTACTGCTTTCCTAACTGATTGTTAAACATGACGTGTAGCTTTGCTCATCTGCTGCCTCTGGCCCAAGCTGAGGGTGGGAGAGGGAGCTCTGGCACAGCGGGGGCAGCTGGCAGGCAGCTCACTCTGGGCCTTTAACTGCTGTGCACTTGGACTTGAAATCATTGATGGGTGTGTGTGTGCTTCTCACAGTCACCATCACATAGGATTTCAGTGTCCATTCCTCGTGGGTCTTTGGACACAGCTGCAGGAATGGCCTGTAGGAGGCTGGAACAGGCAGGTGCCGAGATTTTCTGGTGGAAATCTTGGGGCAGAGGACGACGGTCCCTGCAGCCTATCGTGCCGAACGGAAAGCGAGGCCCAGGGTGGCTTCATGGGTCATTCCTGCGCAGTTGCCCAGGGCCCTGTGCTTGGAAGAGGCCATGCTTAGTTGAACTCTCTGCTATTGTCATTGTGAAATGGCTCGATAATTTTAAAACAAGGGTCCCTACATTTTCTTTTTGTACTCGGACTGTTCTTTAGTGGCTCATGGGGTTCAGGGTTCAGGCCAACAATGTGAGAAAACGGG